TTATCTTATAATAATGAGACTGTTCTTCCTGAGTACTGGTACTCTCTGCTAATACGGCTTATTTTATTTGGACTGTTTTGTTCAGTTTTCTTCAAGTAAATTGTGGCCTCAAAATAGTAATTTGTGGCCTCTTTATAGTAAATTGTGGCCTCAACTTGTAGCCTCAAAATAGTAATTTGTGGCTTGACTATAGTAAATTGTGGCCTTAATATAACAAGTTGTGGCCTCATTATAGTGAATTGTGGCCCCAACTTGTAGCCTCAATATATTAATTTGTGGCCTCAGTATAGTAAATTGTGGCCTCAATACAGTAATTTGTGGCCTTAACATGATAAATTGTGGTCTCATTATAGTGAATTGTGGCCTGAATGCAGAAAACTTCGGTCTCAATATATTCATTTGAGACCTCAATATAGTAATTTGTGCTCTCAATATATTCATCTGTGGCATTGATATTTTAATTTGTGGCTTCAAAACAGCAATTTGAGGCCTGAACACAGAAAAGTGTGGCCTCACTATATTCCTGATATGGCTGATACTATTTGGACTCCTTTGTTGCGTTTTCTCCCATTAAAGGATAATCTCACTCATTACTGAGCATGTTTAAATAATTCACCCTCATGTAAACAGAGTGGTCTGATGTGAAATGTGCCACTGTTGAGGCGTTACAGAGAAACCTACTGAGTCAGACTGTTCACAGTGGTCGTGATTGGAACCAGACGTCTGAAGCGTTGAAAGGCCTCTAAAAGCTACATCACAAAAAGATACCAGACAACACGGATACACTGCCTGATGCCTGAGGCTTTGTTTCAACATAGTTTTCAGATAAGCTTTTGGTGAAAACCAACTTATTTTTCTGATTTAGAACTATTTTACCATTAACAACAGTGCATACAAAGACACATGTAGGTTAATGAACAGTCTTGTATAGTGAATAAAGAAGGCTATTGCAGCCCTTGGTTCCAATCACTGTAAAGAAATCTTGAGTCTGGGTTGAATCATTTCAGATCAGACCACTCGGAATGACTTTAATGGCTTAGCAAAAATTTTGAAAAATTGGTGAAATTCCCCTTCAGTCAGTCAGGTACTGGATACAGCACAACGGTAAATTAGAAAAGCTGAAAACAATCAGTGTGGAGCAGGAATATCAGTGTTTATGGGTGTAGTTCTAGTCATGTGTATCACTAAACCTGAAAAAGCAACGTCGTAGAGACGATATAGACGGTAGTCCAGCCGGGCCTGCGCGGGCCTGCGTGTTTAACCGGGGTCCAGTGTTTTTTTAATCGCCTCTGTGACTTTATTTATTACAAAAATGAATCATAGAATCGGATGCTCGACACTCGGAATGAATCGATTCGGAAGACTGAATCTAACTTTCCATAGCCCGCACGAGCCCGGCCCCGAGTGACGTGGAGCGGAGGGAGCTCGAGCTGGAATTTCAGCTCCGCCCCGCGAGCGCTGCGCTCCGAGGGAGCTCGCGCTCACGTGCACAAACTTCACCGGTCTATGGCCAGTTCTTAGTAAACAGCGCGCTCTGAGAACCGACGGGCTTATACGAGTTCAGAGGGGCCTAAACACACAGTCGAGCACAAGCAGTGTTACTCTGGAGTAATAAAGACTCCAGAATAAGAATAGCGTCTCACTGCAGAGCCCCTAAGGTGACATGGTGACTATTTTCACAGATTAATATATTGAGGCCACAAGTTAAGTTTCTCATAACTCACATCCTTAATATAGTAATATGTGGCCTCAAAATAGCATTTTTTTGCCTTCTTACAGTAAATTGTTGCCTCAATACAGTAAATTATGGCCTCAACTCATGGTCTCAATGTAGTAAATTGTGGCCTCAATTTGTAGACTCAGATATTAATTTGTGGCCTCATTATAGTAAATTGTGGCCTCAGTGTTGTAAAATGTGGCCTCAATTCGTAGCCTAATATATTAATTTGTGGCCTCAATATAGTCATTTGTGGCCTCAATATAACAATTTGTGGCCTCATTATAGTAAATTGTAACCTCAACTCATAGCCTCAATATATTAATCAATGACCTCAATATAGTAAATTGTGACCTCAGTATTATTTGTGGTCTTAGTGTTGTAATTTGTGGCCTGAATACATTACTTTGTGCCCTCAATATAGTAATTTGGAGCCTTAATATAGCAACTTGTGGCCTGAATATAATAATTTGTGATCTCAATATAGTAATTTGTGCCCTCAATATAGTAATTTGTGGCCTCAATATAGTGATTTCTGTCCTTAATATAGCAATTTGTGGCCTCAATATAGTAATTTGAGGCCCCAATATAGTAATTTGTGGCCTCAATATATTATTTTGTGCCTTCAAAACGGTAATGTGAGGCCTCAATATAGTAATTTGTGGCCTCAACATATTACTTTGTGGCCTCAAAATAGTCATTTGTGGCATCAATATTTTAATTTATGGCCTGAATACAGAAAATTATGGCCTCAGTTTATTAATTTATGGCCTTGATGTAGTAATTGGTAGCCTGAATGTAGTGATTATGTAGTGATTAAGTACCTCAGTATAGTCATTTGTGGCCTTGATGTAGTAATTGGTAGCCTGAATGTAGTGATTAAGTACCTCAGTATAGTAATTATGGCCTCAGTTTATTAGTTTGTAGCTCTCTCACCAAATCACAGTGTTACCTCAGGGGCTCTTTAGCTAATAGACCTCAGTTCCTGTGCTGGTAGAAGCTGGATGTCCTAAGAAGTTCCACTACAGTAGCTGATGAGTATTTTTCTCCCTGCTTGTTTTTCTTCTAATGGTCCTTTTTCAGTGTTTTCTCTCCTCCAGCACTCCCGATTCTGCCTGTGCCTGGTTTAATAATTAGCTGATGAGTTAAATCAGATGTTTTAAAGCAGTTTAAACATTAATTAGTGCAGCGGTAAGAGGTGGTAAATCTGACAGAATAAGTTTTCCCTGGGAACGATTTTGCCTCGCAAAGCCCTCCACGTCCTGCATGTTTAAAAAAAGGACATTTCAGGCCAAAAAACCTTTTTCAAACCTATCATAAAGCAAAGTCTAAGAGCTTTTAGAGGCATTAAGCTCTTTGGCTGTCTGGTTCCTATCAGCACCACTATGAATAGTTCTGGCCTGATATGTTTCTCAAGAATGGAGCATTTCATATCAAACTGCTCTGAATGAACAGACAATATAATTATGCTGAAATTTTGAAAAATCTATGGAATTTCCCTTTATAGCTATGGTTGAATGAGCTACATTGATCTTGTCCCGTTTCCTACTGTTGCTGTCTTATGACCTTGTGTTAGTATTGTCTTGTATCATTAAGATTTGTGGGAATTACAGTGAATCTCTCGAGGTTTGTGTCAGTTTAATATCAGCAGTGGTCACTTATATACTGTAGTGTCTTTGTTTGTTTGTTTGTTTGTTTGTTTGTTTTAGGGAAGGCGCTCTGTCATGTTGCTGTTAGAAGTTGTTTTCACACATTTCGCAGGCATTAATGAACAGTTTTATGCTGCGGAAACTGTTCACTGAGGTCCAGTGTAATAAAGTGTCCATGTTACATTGTAATTGGTGGTGTGCGGGAGCATGGGAGAAATCAGAAATACCTAAATAAATAAAAATAAAGTATTACGATAGAGAAAAGCACAAACACACAAACAAATAAAGCAAGTATGTAGTTTTTATTCTCAGATTAACTTCTCATATGGGCTACTTCTGCTGACAGAAGGAAAAATGTGTTTACTCGCTTTAATTAAGTCATTTTTATTTGTTTTTCATGTTTTTTCAGTAGGGTCTGGGTTCGATTCCCCAGCCGGGTGACCAGGGTCCTTTCTGTGTGGGGTTTGAATGTGATTGAGTTTCCCTAGATCCAGTCAGTTGGAGATGCTGAATTGCCCCTATAGGTGTGAGTGAGTGAGTGAGTGTGTGTGTGTGTGTGTGTGTGTGTGTGTGTGTGTGTGTGTGATTTTTCAGTTATATCTATTTGTTCTGTTTGCTCAGTTTTTTTAAAGAACTTTGAGCTGCATTTCTTTATATGAACAGTGTAATAAAATACATATTTTACCCTAAAAATAAGGAAAAGAAACAAGTAAAATATATTATAGTGTTACATTTATGAATTTATTCACTCACTATTATTATTATAATTATTATTATTATTATTATTATTATGTTGTCACTAAGTGATTCCGATTCTGATTAGTAGCATTAATATTGCAGAAACCTGCAGTAATTGTATAATAATAATGATGGTAATAATGATGATGATAATATCTTCATTATATTTTATAATAATCTGTATTTTGTCTGCTTTTCCTCACCTGTTATCCACTTCACTTCAGAGAAATCGATTTATTTCTACTCTTTCACACATAAAAATGTGTTTTTTAAAGGGTTCTTTAGTAAAGACAATGGTTCTATATAGAACCATGTACACTCAAAGGACCATTCACTTGCTTAAATGGTTCCCTGCGTAGTGAAATGATCCTTCAGATTGGAGAATTTGTTGTAAATGGTTCTATATAGAACCTTTTTGAAAAGTGCTCCAAAAATGGCTCTTCTATCGTTACAAGCTTGACATCTTAAACAACAGCACCCTGTTTGGTGTAATACAGAACCATATTCAACACATTCTCCATCAGTCTAAAGAACCTTTTTACCATGCAGGGAACCGTTTAAGCATGCAAATGGTCCTTAGAGCGTTCATGGTTCTATAGGAGTATAGAACCATTGCTTTTACTAAAGAATCCTTGAAGAACCAAGTGCAGAATAACACACACATTTCATCAAATATTGGTATTTTTATAAATAATAATAAGAAAAAAATCTCTTTCGAAAGAAAGAAAGCAAAAAAAAACATCACGACGTGGTGTGGAGACAGGCAAACGCAAGCGCGCCCCCTGTAGGCGCCCCCTCTCCCACTTGTGGTACGAAACATGGCAGAAAACTACATCTCCCATGATTCCGCGGGCTCTCGTCCGGCCCCCACGCTGCTCCCGGCCGGCCTGCCGCAGCCGCTGCATGTGAGTGTGTGTCCACGCTGCCGTAGCGGTCGTAGCTGCCGTGGCTGGATCCTCTATGTTCGTGTGAGCCGCTCTTTCTTCCCTCTGGAGCAGAACCGCGTGTGTTCCCGCGCCATGGCCGACCCGGTGTCCGCGATGTGTGAGCAGCTGGTTAAGGCTGTGAACGTGATGATGGACGCGGAGTCTAATCAGCGCTATCGGCTGGAGGCCCTGAAGGTACCGGAGAGCCGCGCTAGCCGGCCGTGCTAGCTTACAGCCCGGCTTCACTGCTGGACAAACAGCCTGACCCGAGCCGCGCTTTCAGGAAGCGCGTCCAGCCGCTTCGCTCGCCCTTCTTCAGTGCGGACGGCGCTAGTTAGTTAGCCGGCCAGCTAACTCCGCTCTGGTGGTTCGGTGTCACCGCGGTGCCATTCATTGCGCGGTTAGCCGGCTAACCGGGGGCACAGCTGCTGTTCGAGTTCGGGCGGTTCAGATACCGCGGGGTTAAAGTCTCTAGCTGGGTGTTTTTACTTATTTTACCTGCTTATTATGCGTTATTAGGTTGTTATCTGGACGTTTTGACACCTGCGACCTCATCTGTCTCACATGTGGAGGGTCTAATAGGAGTGGAGGACCCGTTTGGGAGACATATAGCCATACAATAAGTTATAATAATGAGAGCCTTCCCTAATTCTGACTTAGTATCTCATAATTCTGACTTAGTATCTCATAATTCTGACTTAGCGTCTCATAATTCTGACTTAGCATCTCATATGAAGCTTATGAGACTTACTTTGTCATAATTATGGCTTAGCATCTCATAATTATGACTTAATATCTCATAACTATGGCTTAGTATCTCATAAAAATGGCTTAATATCTCATATGAGACTTACTTTCTCATAATTATAGCTTAGCATCCCATAATTGTGACTTAATATTTCATAATTTTGCCTTAGCATCTCATAATTATGGCTTGAAATCTCATAACAATCTCAGATTTCTGACTTAATATCTCATATGAGACTCACCATCTCATAATTGTGACTTACTATCTCATAGTTGTGACTTAGCATCTCGTAAGTATGACTTAATATCTCTTGTGTATGACTTAGAATATCAGAATTATGTCTTAGTATTTCTTAGTAATAACTTACTAGGTCATACTTATTGTCTCAATTATGACTTACTATTTCATAAGCATGACTTATAATCTCAATTATGACTTAGTAATTTTATGACTTAATAATAATGAGAAATTTCTCATAGTTTTGTGAGTCTTAACTGAGATATTAATTCATAATTATGAGATACTGTCATAACTGAGATACTAAATCATAAGTATGAGAAAGGATCTCATTATTATGAGATAGCAAGTCAAAATTCTGAGAGATTAAGTCAAGCTTGTGGACACTTTTCTCATTATTATGACTAAATGGCTCTGTATATATATATTTTTTTTCCAGTGGAGGATAAAGTCATATTATGCCTTTTGAGGTTGCTTGCTGGTCATTTTGACACCTGCAACATCATCTCTCACCTGTGGAAACTCTAGTGGGAGTGGTGCTATAAACGGTTGCATAAACACTGCAGTATGTTATCAGCACAATAACAGCCCATTTTCCTTTTCAGTTTTTTGAAGAATTCAAAGAAAAGTGCCCGTTTTGTGTACCGTGCGGCCTCCAGTTGGCAGACAAATCCCAGGCGGCGGTGGTGAGACATTTTGGTCTGCAGATACTGGAGCACGTCATAAAGTGAGTTCTGTTTCAGCCACTAAAGCCTTTTGCCCGTTGTCTCTCTGTGAAGGGCTGAAAGATTATATGGAAATCTGAATTTGAAAGAGTTCAGTTTTCACATTTTAATTGAAGCCTATAATGTTGGCAGCGTTGTCCAGTTTTAAATGGGGAAACCCAGTAATGTATATGCAGATGAGTTAGACCAATCAGAAGCAACCATGGTCTGTGTACATGACAACACAGACACAAGTAAATGGCACATTATGTTCAGTGTTCAAACCAGAAAAAGTGGATATTCTGCTCTTCTTGGCCAAAATAACAGGCCTGGATGTTCATGTAAAGAATGTAACCTATTCATGTTAAAGTTTAGTCACTATATTGATCAGAAAAATGTTGATTAGATATTTTTCCAGATTGTTCAGCTCTATTTCTGTGCATATTTTAGATCCTATATCGGAGTTTAACGCAGTTTGGTAAAATCTGGCAGCTAACGATTCAGAAAATAACGATACAGTGGGGTCACGATTTGATATAGATCTCCATACATCGCAATGAGGGCACGGCTCACTAATTCAAGGATATGGAAAGAATTTGACACATTATTGTAAAACCCCTGAAATACATAGTAAACACATTGGTCATCAACGGCCATGTTGGAGGATGTGCAGGAGTAAGGAGGCCAATCATATGCGCATCTTTTGGAAATGTAATAAACTGTACTTTTTTTGGGCAAATAAATATGATCTGCTTAAACACATTATGGCTTATTCGGTTCCCAAAAAATGCACAGATATGTACCTTGGAGATAGAAGTGATCATCTTACTGATAATGACAAACATTTAGCAAGAAAATACGTCTGATAGGCAGCAAAAAAGGCAATAACACGAAATTGGTGTAAGATTGAACCTCCCTCTATAGAACAGTGGGCGAAAATTGTAAGACAAATTTATGTACTACAAACAAATGACATACCAGCTTCAAACGGATGACCTATGACACCGTAGAATACATGGGGATAAACTGACGGAAATACAAGGATAATACACCTTCGAATTCACTCATTTGATAAGAGTTTAAAAACCACAGACAACCACTTTTTCCCCTCCTCCTCCTCTCTTTTTATGTCTATGTCCACTTGTAAAAAACTCAATAAACACTTAAATGTAAAAAGAAATAAATAAATAAAAAGGAATGGCTGATATTATGCCTTACGTTAGTACGTTAATGTTTTCATTTGCAGTGTGTTATAGCATTTAACACGTGCAATATTTGAAACAAAAGATGTGCTTTAAAAAGTCTCGATGTAAATTTCTAAACACAAAGTAATGCTCTAGCCCACCCAGACAACTTCGCTTAGCTGAGGCAGGCTTACTGGTTGTGCCTAGGATCTCCTCCAGATCAGTCAGTGCAAGAAAATCTCTTTATGTAGTTCCTAAATAGCATTTCAATCCGGATAATTAGGAGTGCTAGCTGAATAGGTGTGGTGAAATCCAGATTAAAGGCATATTTATTTAAGCCAGCATTTTTAGACTTTGTAACTAAAATGGAAAGTTCTATATAAATAAATGTTATTGCTGTTATTATTGTTAATATTATTACGTTAACAACAAGCTCACATGCCAACAGTTAACTGATGAGTTTAATCAGAGCGGGAAAATCACCAAACTATGCTGGGATCTGGCTTTCCAGGACCAGTGTTCTCAACCCTCATATTCTGTCACTCTGATTCAAACAGGTTTCAGTGGAACAACATGCCACAGCAGGACAAGGTCCATTTAAAGAACTGCACAATGGAGCTGCTGACAAATGTGAGTTGTGCTGGTTGTTGATACATTATTAGATGTTTATCTATTAATATGATTGAAATTCTGGCTCATCACTTGAATTTGTCTCTCTTTAGGGCACATATCCCATCTTGGAGGAACAGAGTCATATCAAAGATGCTCTCTCGCGGATTGTGGTGGAGATGATCAAGAGAGAGTGGCCACAGCACTGGCCAGACATGCTGAAAGAGATGGAAACTCTCACTTCATTTGGGGTATGTGGGGTATTTGCTTGATGGCTTTAAGCGTGCAGTCCAGGTCTGTACCCTATCGGACTGTAGTCCATCTGTTTCTCTGCATACTTTGTTAGCCCCCTTTTACCCTGTTCTTCAGTGGTCAGGACCCCCATGGACCCTCACAGAGCAGGTACTATTTAGGCGGTGGATCATTCTCAGCACTGCAGTAACACTGACGTGGTGGTGGTGTGTTAGTGTGTGTTGCGCTGGTACGAGTGGATCAGACATAGCAGTGCTGCTGGAGTTTTTAAACACTGTGTCCACTCACTGTCCACTCTATTAGACACTCCTACCTTGTCAGTCCACCTTGTAGATGTAAAGTCAGAGACGATAGCTCATCTGCTGCTGCACAGTTTGTGTTGGTCATCCTCTAGTCCTTCATCAGTGGTCTCAGGACGCTGCCCACAGGACGCTGTTGGCTGGATATTTTTGGTTGGTGGACTATTCTCAGTCCAGCAGTGACACTGAGGTGTTTAAAACTCCAGCAGCACTGCTGTGTCTGATCCACTCAGACCAGCACAACACACACTACTAACACACCACCACCACGTCAGTATTACTGCAGTGCTGAGAATGATCCACCACCCAAAAAGTACCTGCTCTGTGAGGGTCCATGGGGGTCCTGACCACTATAGAACAGGGTAAAAGGGGACTGAAAAGGGGGCTGCAGAGAAACAGATGGACTACAGTCTGTAACTGTAGAACTACAAAGTGCACCTATATAGTAAGTGGAGCTGATAAAATGGACAATGAGCATAGAAACAAGGAGGTGGTCATAATGTTATGCCTGTATTTTATACAGAAACAGCTGTTTTTATTCTGTCTGTTCACATAAAGGAGAAAAACTGCAACAAATGACTGAAATGCCAACAACACAGTGCAGGATGCCACACAGTGAATTAAAGTGAATTAACCCAAAGCAAAAATGTGGTTGATTTCTGGTCTTCATAACTTCAGAACGGTTTAAGCTCCAAACATGATACACATATCAGACCATTCAGCAGACCCGACCCAAACTAGCTAGTCATCACAGCAAACAGCACTCTGAGAAGGAGACACAGTCAGTAGCCTTATTTTTTAATGCCAGTGCAGATATCGACGTTTTTATCAATAGCGACTTTCTTTTTTTGCTGTTTGATTGACCAAATGTTTTGCCTGATCAATATTTGAATATTTTATTCTCAGCGATATTTAATATTGTCATGAAAACTGACTGCTAGTTAAAGTCAGTCGATATTCAGAGTTTTGTATGTGACACAATCAGAACAGTGAGATATTGACGCGGCCTCTGTTGAAATATTATTATTATTATTATTATTATTATAAAGACAAACAACATCCATAATCAAATTATGTATTGACAATTATTAGATCAATCAACAAAGTGAATTATTATGATTTCTGTAGTTTTGTCTGACTTACATGACACAGTTTCTTCTTTTATGATTCAACCAGGTAATTGAATCTGCATCGCCTCCAACACGTTTTGTGGTGTGTGAAATCCATTGGAGTGATTGTGTACGATAAGAACGTTGTAGAGCGTTTTTGAGGTTTTTTTCCTCGAACCTCCTCAACCGCAGGCTTATTATTCAGTTATTAACCTTATCGTTTAAGGGGTTAAATAAATGAAGTGTCAGCTTTTTTTGCCTAATTGATGTCGTTGTTTACTAATGGTTGCAGCTCTGATTCCTCTGCACTGACTTTTTTGCCACTACACAAACAAAACCTTCCTCTGAAAAAAGCTTTAATGTACATTAATGCAAAGAACATTGAGAGAGACTGATTATCAGTTTTGAACTGTTTCTCTTGATCTATTTGTCATGAGTCAAACGGTTTTGATACGTCAGAGTTATGCAGCTGTGTATTTCTGTTGTACCGCATGAATTTGAGGCTAACTCCCGCTCCCGCCATCCCTCTTGCTCAGGAAACGCAGACGGAGCTGGTGATGCTCATTCTCTTGCGGCTGGCCGAAGACGTGATCACGTTTCAGACTCTGCCCACGCAGCGGCGGCGGGACATCCAGCAGACCCTGACGCAGAACATGGACAGCATCTTCACCTTCCTCCTCAGCATCCTGCAGCAGCACGTCGACGAGTACCGGAGACTGGTAGGCGTGCAGGTTCTTAGGGAATTAGTCCACAACCCCGGTCCTGGAGTCAGCCCTGCCCTGCACTTCAGTGTTTTCCTTGCTCTAAAAGACCCTGTTTACATCTGGCATTAACATCCAAAATCTGCAGAGAGGAAAAAAACTTCATAGTAATATACAAAGTGTAATATTGAACATAAAATATTGGCAGATTAGGCTAATCTGAGCTTGTTTTGTAGTAGAAATCAAGCAGAATGATGGTAAAAATAAGCAGAATGTTTCTGCAACCTTTTTTTATACCAGTAGTTGAGTGAAACTGTGAGGAAAGCAAAAATCGAGGAGGCTGCTTCACTGTTTGAAGCCATTTAGTATTTATTTCTCAATGTTAATTGAATTAACTTATTTTCACTAATCATTATGACACAATGCACCATCACTGGCCCACTAAGGACTAATACAGGCCTGCGGACGACCAGATGGACACTACACGACTTTTGAAGTCACAGAATCCCTGTGCTGCTCACACTGCACAGCATTTATTCATCACTTGAGACCACTTGTTTGTCGATACAGTGGTGTGTACACTACAGGAGTGATCACAGACGAAGCCCACACTGCACAGTCTTCCACCCAGACAGACCACCTGATGACAAACTGCCAGCGACTCTGGGGAAATAAGCATGAGAAGAGTCTGTCCTGTGCTAAAGTCGATTTAGAGAAACTCACTGTTGTTATTCCAGGAGAAAAAAGAAAAGAAAACGAAAATATGTTTGAATATATTTGAATCATTGCTCTTTTCGGACCCAGCCGAAGTGGCGGGGAGCAGCAGGGGTTGTCAGAAATCTGTCTCTGGGCCCAAATATAGCGCACTTGCCTTAAGGATGTTTGGTGGGTTATAATTATGAGGAATACCAGGGTGACGACGTACTCCTGCCAGGCCCGCAGTCGTAAGGAGGACAGCGTACTTTAACATTTTGTCTGGTCATTTTTTTGCAGAAGCTCTAAGACTGTGGTTCCTAATCCTCGTCCTAGGGACCCCACGCTCTGTTTACCATACTCTAACACTCCTGTCTCGGCTCATTAGGACCTTGTTAATTAGCTAATGAGTTGAATCAGGCAGAAAATCACCCATGTCTCTTGTGTGGTGACTGAAAAGCTCACGCAGCCACCTGTCCAGTGTAGAATGCCCCACTGTTTTAAAGAGAAAGATAAAAAATTGCGAAAACACTGAAAATAAGAGTAAAAATGTTTCTGTGTTTGGATTAAAAAAGTTATAGAGCTCAAGAAACTCTGCCGGGATGAAGCGCTCCTCCATATTTCCCCTGGCAAAAGCTGTGATGTCATTAGCTGACGACCAGCGAGCCTCACCTTATTGAAACTGAATGGGCCATGTTATTGTGGATTGTTGTGTAAAAGGCCCATTTAAACCACTTTAACACATTTTTGACCTCTTTGTTTTTGTTTTTTTGTTTTGTTTATTTATTTTTTTGCTTGCCTGTTTTGTTAACGTCATGCTCCTACTTTCACCATCCATCTGAGAGTTTATGGACAATCATTTCTGCTGACCCATCTTATGGGAGGCATTTCTGTGCTAAGCATTTTTGTCTGTGGATTTTAATGAAACGCCCCCTAGAGGAGCACACAGCTTAATTTACTGTGAATTTTAACCATTTTTATGCCAACTTCTGTAACAGCCGGTATAAGGTGGGCTGTATTTATCATGTTTGTTCATCTGTCTTTTTGCTTTTGTTCCACAGAAAATAATTCCAGGACAGGAGTTAAAGGTGAGTCTAGAACTCTTCTCTCAGAGCTGGTCTCTATGGTGGTCTTGGGTGGTCCCTTTATTTTGAAGTAACCAGTAAAGTGGGGCTGACGTGCAGCTACAGATGAGCTACATTCAGCTCCTGTATGCATTTACAGAGTGTGGCAGGTGTTTCTGATTAAATGGTGTCGAAACTACGCTCTTATTGATGGTTCTCCATAGAACAATGAACATGAACAATTAAAAAAAACCTTTTGCACGATTTTGTATGTGGTTCTATATAGAACCTTTATGAAAAGGGTTCTATAGAGCACCAAGAAGTGTTCTTCAGATTGACGGGGAATGTGTTGTATGAGGATTGATGGATCTATATAGAACCATGAAAACTCACAGAACCCTTTGCATGGTTACAGCATTCTTTGCATTGTGAAAGGGTTCTACAGAATGATGTTGTATGTGTTGTATGAGATTCCATATAGAACCTTTTTGTAAAGGGTTCTATATAGCACCAAAAAGATTTATTCAGATTGATGGAGAATGTGTTGTATGTTGTTCCATATGGAACCTTTTGGAAAAGGGTTCTATATATAGCACTTAAAAGGGTTCTTCAGATTATAGAAAAAGTGTTGTATGTGGTTCCATATAGAAAACTTTATTGAAAAGGGTTCTGTATAGCACCAAAGAGTTCCTCAGATTGATGGAGAATGTGTTGTATGTTTCCATGTAGAACCTTTTAGAAAAGGGTTCTGTATAGCACCAAAAAGGGTTCTATATAGCACCAAAAAGTGTTCTCCAGATTGGTGGAGAATCTGTTGTATGTGGTTCCAAATAGAACCTTTTTGAAAAGGGATCTATATAGCACCAAAAATGATTTTTCAGATTCATAGAGAATGTTATGTGGTTCCATGTAGAACCTTTTTAAAATGGGTTCTGTAAAGCACTAAAAAGTGTTTTTCAGATTGATAGAGAATGTGTTGTATGTGGTTTCATATGGAACCTTTTTGAAAAGGGTTCTATATAGCACCAAAAATCGTTAGTTACAATGTCAAGCTTGTAATAATAGAAGAACCCTTTTTGGTGCTATATAGAACCCAATTCAAAAGAACCATCTACAGCACATTCTCCAACAATCCGAAGAACAATTTCATGATACAAAGGACTCTTTAATCAAATGCAAAGGGTTCTTTGAGTGTTCATGGTTCCATATAGAACCATTTTCTTTGCTAAAGAACCCTTGAAGAACCATCATTTTAGGTGTGTAGGTAGGTCTACTCAGTGTATACACCCAGCGATTAGCCTACATAGTAAAGGAAGGGCTCTGCTGTTCTAACCGGTTCCTTCTTGTCCTACAGGCTAAAGCTCACTGCCGAGTCGGTATAGCCACCTTAAACACTCTGGCTGGCTACATTGACTGGGTAGCTCTGGTCCACATCACCAACGACAACTGCCACCTGCTGGAGATCCTGTGTCTGCTGCTGAGCGAGCCGGAGCTCCAGCTGGAGGCTGCAGAGTGTCTCCTCATAGCAATCAGCAGGAAAGTGAGTGGGGCTTTTACTGCAGTCAGCCCTAAAGGGCTCCTATGTTAGTAAACACACCGAGCATCGCCGCTCTAACGTACAGGAGCAGTTATGATCGTGAATATGTGCTTTTTAGTTGCGGTCGTGTTCAGTTTACTGTTAAAGCTTACAAGAAGATGGTTCTGAGCGTCTTACCCACAAACCCAGGATGTTATTAACGTCCGTTGACATCTATAACGTACACGTTTATGCTTATTTACAGATTGCAAGCTTTAGTAAAGGCAGATATTGAGAACACTTGATAAACTGTATGTTGCGCAGCCATAAAGTTATTTTGTACAGAGCCCTGCTGGTGACATCCCGTATAAATGTAAGTAACGTGTGGCCACGACTTAGAAAGGCGTGGGAACGAGATCCTAATGTGTGGCCACGACTTAGTAGGGCGTGAGAACGGGATCATGCCTTTTTAAGATGTGGTCAAGGCTCATCTCATTCCCATGCCTTATTAAGTCGTGGCCATACATTAGAATCTCGTTCCCACGCCTTACCAGGTAGTGGCCACAACTTAATTATCTCGTTTCCACGCCTTCTTAAGTCCTGGCCATGCATTTGGATCTCTTTCCCGCACCTTACTAAGTCGTAGCCACGCGTTAGGATCATGTTCCCATGCCTTGCTAAGTCGTGGCCATGCGTTAGGATCATGTTCCCATGCCTTGCTAAGTCGTGGCCATGCGTTAGGTTCCCACGCCTTACTAAGTCATGGCTATGACTTATGTCGTTCCCACACCTTACTAAGTCATGGCCATGTGTTAAGATCATGTTCCCATGCCTTACTAAGTTGTGGTCATGCGTTAGGATCTTGTTCCACGCCTTACTAAGTCGTGGCCATGCATTAGGATCATGTCTTAATTATCTTGTTCCCATGCCTTACTAGATCATGGCTATGACTTATGTCGTTCCCACACCTTACTAAGTCGTGGCCATGTGTTAAGATCATGTTCCCATGCCTTACTAAGTTGTGGTCATGCATTAGGATCTCCTCCGGCGGCGAGAGGGGGTTTGGAGGTAGAGCTGAAAGTTTGATATTTTTGTGTCAAAATCGAAGTTTGAAAGAGTACAATTTTCTAAAGATGAGCTGTAAATTTTATTATACAATACATGATCAGCAATGATGTCTTAACAAGTTTTAAATGGACAAAATTAAACTAATAACACAGAATGAGCTCCCAGTAGAGGAGTTTAGGCCAATCAGAAGCAACGAAATGCCCATGTCCTGTATATGTGACATCACAACCATCGCAACTAACTTAGTCTGATGCACTGAAAAAAAGAGGATATTCTGCAAATTAATTCATAGAAAATTACTGCATTTAAACACAATATTGGTCAGAAAAATCACAATCAGATATTTTCCCCAGATCACTCAGCCGTAGCTGTGGGGGAGGTGAAACATGGTATCACTGGTTAATATTATCTTTCTCCGCCTGCTGATGCGCAGTGATGTAATCAACAGTCTTAGGTCAGGCAAAAGTCTCTTTGATCAAAGATGACTGGAAAACCGTTTTCTCTCATAAATGATATGATATAGTAAACTGTGCTTAATAAGAGCAGAAGGATGAAATAAAAAGATAAAATAAGGTTCATTTCAATTTCAGGTTGACTTTCATGTAGAAGCAAAAATAAGGGGAACGCCAGTTAATAGTGTTGTTTCTGCTCCTGTGCAGGGAAAGCTGGAGGACAGGAAGCCCCTCATGGTGCTGTTTGAAGATGTGGCCATGCACTACATTCTGTCGGCCGCTCAGTGAGTATCTGCACTCAGAGTTCTTAAGGAATATCAACATGATCAGAGCACCTTCTGTTGCAGTTTGGTATCATATATACAGTGTAAGTGCTGTAGTTTATAGAGCCTTTCAATATTGTTTCTTTCCAGGTCCGCTGATGGAGCCAACAATGCCAGTGACCAGTGAGTATCCAGCATAGACAGATTCAGCCTTGGTGTTTGGTAGCTTTTGCTAGCTTTCTGTTGTTTTTTGAGCATTTTGGAAGCAATAAAATGAAAATGCTATAAAAATGCTTATGAGCTTTGCTACCAGAACGTTATCAAGTATGTTTGACAGGTTTCCATCAAAACTCATATGCAGAGAATTGATTAATACTGAGCAAATGTAAACGTATACTTGAAGAAAATCCTATTACGACATCTACATATCGCTGCTGTCGGAACAAAACCTCTTATCTCCAAAATAGTAACTTTACAGGAGAAGGAAAAAACATACTTTACTTTTAATGTAAGTCAATGGAGCCAGACTGTTTTTCCAAGTAATTTTGGGCCGTTTCTTTTGGTCCATTCTTCATGAAATTTACACACAGTGTAAAAGGTAACAGGTATTTTCAAAATATGCCAAAAACTGGAAAACGACAAAAAAAATTTAGATACGTGGTTTTGTTCTGACAGCAGCGATATGCATTATTGCGTTTCTATACCAGCTAAAAACATTTGCACAAAGTTTAGCCATATTTAGCATTATGTTTTTGTCGCCTGCGCCATCAAATGTTTGAAAATATTAAAGCACTTTTGGCCTAAAGTCTGATGGAAGCCTGTCTATAGTCAGTCTTTAACAGTGTACAAAGCTTAACATGAGTTTTTAATGTAGGCCAGCGGGAGCAGGGCTATCGGAGATGAGATACACCTTCTTGAAGAGGCTCTGTCAGGTGCTCTGTGCTCTCGGCGGTCAGCTCTGTGCACTGGTGGTGAGTCTCTGATCAGTTTTTTAAGTTTATCTTTGTTAATGTATCAGCCTGAGTGGGTGCTCATGGTCCTGTATTCATTTAGGGCTCAGTCGCAGAAGTGAACGTTCCTGGGAATCTGAATAAATACATGGAAGCTTTCCTTGCCTTCACTACTCATCCCAGCCAGGTAAAGTGGCGTTTGTGCTACAATAAGCCCAATAACACTGTTTCCGCTAAAGCAGTAACAATAACAACAATGACGAGTTGAACATGTGCAGCTTATTTAAGGGTTCGAGCTTAGAGCAGAAACACCCTCATCTCAGTTTCAGTGGTTTGTCAGCTGATGATGAGCTGAGGACAATGAATTTGTACAATTAATAAAGGAATAAACTTTGTCGTATGGAGTAAAAGAACCTCTGTGTCAGCTTTTCAAGCTGCTGGCTAACGTTAAAGTGCAGTTTGTGCTTTAAAGTTGCTGCTGCAGCCGCTTTCAGAGGAACAGTTTTCATTTCCTCCCTCAAAAGCTGTCCGTATCTGAGAGAGCGAGTGCTCAGCAGGGAGTAGATGTTTGCTCACTGAAGCCGGTGTTTGTTGATGACCCGGCGCCCCCTGCTGGCGAGTGTGTGTGTTTAGCTTTTTGCCACTTGAGCTAGTTTATTGTTAGTGAGCTGTTTCAACATCTCCAGCTAACATGGCTTATCTAGCATGTTGGCTATAGCTATTTTTACATATCCATCGGTTTATCACTCTGTAGCTGTTAGCTGATGTTATTGTGCTCTGAAAGCCGTGAAGGAGTTTTTTCACAAAGCGTTTACGTCCTTTATTTGGTCTCGACTCCCACATTGTTGTGTGTTTGGTTCTTCAACCGTTCTGGATGACAGTTGAGATGCCATATGGAAGATTGGGCCCCCACACTAATATCAGTTTCCTTTTGCATTTTACAAACAGTTTCTCAGGTCCTCCACACAGACCACCTGGGGAAACATTTTCAGACATGAAGTTTTATCAAAGGATCTTGTTATTGCACAGATGGCCATTAAGTATTTGAAGGCAGCCATGACCAACCTCGTGAAGGTAAGTGGTTAACAATCACTTTGGCAGAGTATTTGAATTTTGTATAATATTTAGTGGTATAAATGGGTGTCAACATGATAATTTACCAATTATTATTTTAACCATTATTTTTAATGCCATAATACCACTTTTCTGGTTTGACGTAGGGCTGAATGATTTGCGAAAAACATCTAATTGAGACTTTTCTGATCAATATTGTGATTTTAAATTGCGATTACTTTCAGTAAACAGAATTCCAGGCTTGTTATTTTGGCCAAGAAGACCAGAACATCCACTTTTTCTGGTTAAGACTGCCAGTTGGTTGTGGCTGTGATGTCACAGCATTTGGGTGTTTGGTTGCTTCTGATTGGTCTAACTCATCTACACACAGTTCAAAAGCTCTGATATTAGGTTAGTGTTGCCTAGTTAAGGTAACGCTGTTGTTAATATAGGCTGTAATTAAAATTTCAGCTCTTGTGATTTGAAAATTGCACTTTTAAATTGCAATTTCGATATAATATGATGAATCTTTCAGCCCTAGTTTGACCTATCAAACCATTTGCAGCTCCACCCTGAAGCTCAGCGATGAATGTTTCTTTTTGCACAAATAAGACAATTAACTACAAATAAATGTAATTAATCGTGATTATTTTAATCTGTTGGCAGCCTGAATAATATCGCATGCTATAGTAATTGCTGTATGTTTTTAGACAGGGTTCCCCTCTCAGAACGACAGCCCAGCTTGCGAATACTCCCGTGTGGACTTTGACTGTGATGAGGACTTCAATACATTCTTTAATTGTAAGCAGACCAGGTTCTTTAATGTAGAGACTGGACTTTGTTCAAATAAATTGCGAAAGAAAGAACTTTTCCAATAACATGATGTCTTTCACAGCTTTCAGGGCCCAACAGGGAGACGTTGCTCGCCATGCCTGTAAGATTGCCCCTATGGAAGCCTTCCAGATCGCCGGGGAATGGTTACAGTATCAGATCAACGCGCCTCTCGACACTGGAAATGCTCTGTGTACGTTTCTTGCACTAAAACAAAAAGACAAAAAAAGACAGCAGAGCATTTTCAACAGAGTATAAAACTTATTTCAGTTCGAGCTCTTGAAGAGGTGTGAGAGGTGATAAAAGTCTCGATATTATGACTGCAGTTCCTGGAAAGCAACTCATTTCAAATTCTTTTAATTAGGTCTTCCAGAAAACAGCATGCTGTCTGTGCAGTTTCAGTTTTGGTCATAGCGTGGGGACATGGGGGCCATTGAAACCCGCTGAGGCAAAACAGCTTTTCAGCTTGATCAACCTGACTGCTTTTAAACTCGCCCCACATAATGTGCTAACACCAATTCGGAAACCCACTTTCCGGAGTGTCATGCTAGTACGTGTCTGAGGAGGAAATTACTGTGGCTTACAGCTGTGAGACCGGTGCTCTTTATACTACTGATTATCATATGTTTTGGGTTTGCAGGATTCATTTTGCAAACATATTTGACTTCAGTGGTGTAAAAGAGCCCAAAATGCACAAGGCTAACTGACGCTTGCTTTTATTAGTAGGAAAAGTAGAACTTTTAAATTTCTCAGCTTTCGTACACAGTGGAAAAGGCACATGCCACTTTTGTCTCCTAGGGCCCGATCCTGTCTCTTATTTTTACCTCTGCCGCTTGTTTTCGAGTGTCTCCTTGCCCTTTGGAACTGAGTTACAAAGGGGTAGTGGTTGAAATCTTCCCTCTGAAACGGGACCCTCAAATAAAGAGCATTACTTCATTAACAGCTACTAGCGCTGCTCTGTAGGCGACCCTGCCAGTCTGCAGTGACAGCAGAGGAGGGTAAAGTTCAGCTCCTCACTGCTGGGCTTTAGTTACATTTAGGGGGTCATATGCCTTCAAAGAGGGGGGCACTTATTTATTATCACATGCACCTAATTCTTCAGTGATATGAAGCTGAAGTCAGATATTCACCAGCTTCTTGTTTGAATTTTCCTGGTCCACCTTAAATGGAGCAGCTGCTGGACTATTTAAGGTGGAACAGGAAATGTAGCTAGCAACCAAGACATTAAGACATCATTTTTTTTTGCTTGTGATGAAGAAAAGAATCATAATGCGCTGAAATGACCTTAAACTATAATATAATATAATAATATAAGATAATACAGTAATTATTGTAATTTTAACGGAGAAAATTCTCACATTTGTGGGTTTCTTTGGTCTCTTGTGCCGCCATCTTGCTGTTTTTTTCTTTTTTCTCGTAACACTGTTTGGATTGTGCCTCTGAAGAACCTCCGCTTGGAGGACCATGTAGCCTTAACGCTTCACCCACTTCACTTCAACACTACCCCCTATCCCAACAAGAATTGGGACACCCTGCCGCTAGACGTGAATGCACAAAACTGAGTGGTAGGGCGAGAGGTGAAATGGAGTTGGGCCTAGGATTGCATATTTTGGAAGATGACTTATTCAGAATGAGGTACAGTTTAGTCAGCCACCATTTGTCATTAGTTAATTTAGGTAGCGTCAGCTCGCTAATTTCCATGCTAAGGTCTAATTAATTGTTTTTGCTGGATGTCTTTCTGTAGGTCTTGTTTTTTGGGAACAAGACCATTGTGTGGGATCGAGTATCGGTTCCAATAATGTGGAAATTAGTATTCTTAAAGTGTTCTCAGAACACTTTTGCTTTTCTTTTGTAAAATAACTTCTTAGCCTGTTTTTTTACCTTGTGTATCGTCGCTGTCCAAACAGAAACGCGTGTCTCTGTTTTTTTGCGATTTTTAGTTTTGTGCACAGTTGGAGTTTAGCGGCTCTCCTTTACATACATTTCATAATGACTGGACCACTAGAAATGCTCCAAAATCACTTTGAATAAAATATCTTCCCAATAACTTTGGTGGAAAGTAAAGAAAGTTTTTTTCCCCTTTCTTGTAAAGTTACCATTTTTTTTTTTTGTTTTTCTTACTTATATTTTCTTACAAAAAACAATTTATACTTGTTTAATCATCCACATCCTTTTCCTGCACTGAAAACAGTCCAAAATTCATCCTATTTGGCATCTGGTGTTCAGTTTCCAGATGAAACGTAAGAGTAAATACCGTCTTCATCTACTCTCTTGAAGCTAAAACAGGAGAGGGGCTGTGCTCTATGCTTTCACCTTCAGCCAGGCAGTGGGACGCCATGACCTTCCTCACAGAGAGTGTGATGGGACAGCTCTTCAAAATCGTGGACAAGGAGGTATCACTCGTTTTACCTCCACAACACTATTTTTATTCATTTTGCCTGCTTAGTTGTCTTAATAACAGCTTTCTACTTCAATTTATTGCAGCCAAATAAACAGAACATTCTGTACAATTACAGAAGGTTGAAATTGGCTTTGTTGATCACCTTTAATTTGCCGTTTTCTTATGTGTTCAGAAATTGCCTGTTGACCAAGGCATGGAGCTGCTCCAGGCCGTAGTGAACTACGAGACGCGGGATCCCCTCATACTGTCCTGCATCCTCAGCAACTTGTCCTCCCTCTTTCCTTTTGTTTTACATCGGCCAGAGTTTCTACCTCAAGTGTTTTTTAAGGTAAGACGATTCATCACACACCAGTGCCCGTTAGCGCCTGACCTGTGGCGGAAAGGTCCTGACGTTTGATCTAATATCGTATCGCTCTGTATTCACGTCATTATGTTTGTATTTTATAGCTGTTTCCCGCCATCACGTTCGAAATAGTTGAAGAAAGCAAGGTAAGACACAATGTTAAGCTATAAAGGCCTCGTATATCGTCGTTGTCTCCAAAACAGTAACTTTAAAAAAGAAGGCAAAAGTATTTCTTTTAACATGAGTTAACAGAGATTTTATCACAAGCCATTTTTAAAACATTGCTGTTGGCCCGTTCATCAGTAAATGTTGACACCACGAGTTCGTTTACATGCACTTAATAATCCGATAACTGCAGAAAATCTGATTTTGTCAGAAATCCCATCAATGTGTTCACATGCTCTTGAGTAATCAGATAACGGGGAAACTCCAGGTCTCCATGAGTCAGACAGTAATCAGATTTCTGCTTTGCAACCAGCCAATAAACTCACAGAAGAAGACGTGACATAAACGCAACATAAAACTCAAACTTCGCGCCACTTTACCTGAAAATATGAACAATCATCATCTAGAAGATGAAGAATATTTAAATCCTTCATTTCGTCAAGCATGTATTTGGTTTCAGCGTCGCTCCAAAAGTGTTTTGCTGCGTCGCAGCAGCGCTGCTCGCTTATTTCCGGTGCAGCAGTCTGTTTTCACACATGCTCAGACTGAGAAATCTGAAAGAAATCAGAGTAAGAGCTCACATGCACTGAGAAATCTGATTACTGAGCTAAAATCAAGCCTCTTTATCAGATTTCTTAATCATATTTCTAGATTGGAGTATGGTGTTTACATGACCATGTGAATGATCAGATAACTGCAGAAATCTGATTATGATCTGATTATTGAGTGCATGTTAATGCCTCACTGTAAAGGACAGCGCTGTGCTCAGATGTCAACACACTGATAAAAAACAGAGCTTATTCATGTATTTATTTTGGACAGCGACGATATGTTTCAGTGAAATCCAGTATTTCTGATTGAGTTGGATCAAGTGCTTCATTTGAACAACTGATGTCACTAAATGCTTTTAGGCTCCTCGAACACGAGCTGTCAAGAACGTCAGAAGACATGCCTGCTCCTCAATCATCAAGATGTGTCGAGATTACCCAGAGTTCATACTAGTAAGTATTACCCCTTTGCAGAAATCATTAAATTCACTGTTCTCATTATTTCTAATAACACGCTGACATGATTTAACCAGAACAGAAGCCCAAAATCCAGCCTGGGCTGAAAGAAGACAAAATGTAGAACAGATGAAATAGATTTTCAGATAAATGTGTCAAAATTAACTGGAAGACCGTTAATGTATGTGGTTTTTGTTTATTTTTGATTTTTTTATAGCCATGCTTTGACATGCTGTACACCCAAGTGAAGAAGCTGTTTGCCAGTGAGCTGCTGCTGACCCAGATGGAGAAGTGTGCCCTCATGGAGGCTCTGGTGCTGCTTAGTAACCAGTTTAAGGACTACAACAAGCAGAAGGCCTTTTTGGAGGAGCTGATGGCCCCCGTCACGACACGCTGGCTCTCGGAGGAGATGCGCAGGTATGAGTTAAACTGGATGCATGTGGAAGAGCTCAGGTACTTACCAGCCTCACTGTATGCTTCTACATAGTGCTGTTGAGGAAATGAATTGCTGTTGTTTTGGGGTCGTATTACAGAAACTTCTTAACTCTGAAATCTGATCTGTTTAGTCTCCATGACAACTTCAGCACGAACTGAATTCAGGACAGTATCTATTACAGAATAACCAGTTCCTGACTTCATAATCTCATCATTATCTCCAGATAAGAAAACAGCATCACACAAACATCCTAACTAGACTAAACCTCCTAAATCCTGTCCTAACTTTAGGATGAACCCCAACAGGGTCCTCACTTCTGTTTAAGGTCCGTTTCTATGGTTTTTAGGCAGCTGTGTCAGCAGCATAGTTCACTACCAGCATAATGAGCTCCATTTATTTCTACTGTAAAACGCTGCTTTCACTGTGAGATGATTTTCTTTTCTAACTCTGCGTTTTAAAGATCTCAGACGCTGCAGACTCGATCTCCACCGCCCCTCTGATCACCTTCGTGTGTTAATGCTGATGATGAAATATTAGTGATGGTGGTGAATAATGAGGAGACGGAGCTGAACGTGTGTCTGTTTATTAGGAGGAGTAACGTTAGCGCGCTCGGCTAAAACGTTTGGGAAATGGAGACTGAAACTGGGGAGCGGCGACACTGATAAACAGCAGGGGGCGCTCTCACAGTATTCTTAACTTTCAGTTTATCACACGTTTGGTTTGACCTTTTTACATCAGTAACGGTAGCTAACGTTAGCAGTCTGGCTAACTAACCTGATTATTTTGACAATGTGTTTACGTTTCAGCTGAGCTCTTATGGTTGGTTGCTGGTTAACAGACGTAACAAGTGGTTGTTGACTTTGATCGAGTAGGTTAAGCGTTTGGGAAATGGAGACTGAAACAGGTTGTCTTTATAGAGGGACAATCAACAGTGGGATTCCATGCGATATCGAGTCGAACCACAGAGATGATGATATTGATCAGTATTTTGTTTCCTGCTTTGTTTCAGTGTGCTGTGGGATCCTGCTAGTTTCTTGGCCTTCGTTGGTGCTGATCAGGTTGTTAATGAGCCCGCAGCTGAGGACCAGATGGGAATCAACAGGTCAAGGGTAAATATGAATCATCTGCACACACTGTATTTACAGTATACACACTGGGATCACACGTTGTATCAAGACCTCGTATGTCCATTTTTGTTGTTTTTCAGTTTTGGACATAATTTGAAAGTACCCATTGGCCTTCACATTTCATGTTGAATGGCCCAAAGGAAATGGCCCAACATTTCTTAGGAAAAAGTCTGGTTCCATTGACTTACATTAAGAGTAAAGTTTGTTTTTTTACCATTTCAGAGGTACAAGGTTTTGTTTCAACAGCAGCGATATGATTATGATTATGATTAAATATTGCCCAAAGTCTGCTGAGATGTGGCTGGATGGTGGCCAACTCGAATGGTTTTACTTGCATATGAATGAAGCCCTAATCTTCACCTGCATCAAACTGAATGTTATAAGTCCTGGCCAACACTTCTAACCCTAATCTTTGTCTCTTCACTGGCAGATCAGTTTTTGCGTGTACACGATCCTGGGAGTGGTGAAGCGGGCGCGGTGGCCTGCTGATCTGGAGGAGGCCAAAGCTGGAGGCTTCGTGGTGGGCTACACTCCTGCTGGAGCCCCAATCTACAGGAACCCTTGCGCAGAGCCGTTGCTCGCCCTGCTGCCAAACCTGCTCAGCCTCATCAGGTGGGGAGTTTGTCCTGGCCAGTGCCAACAAGAATTCACCAAGAAATCTGACGAATGTTGTAATGGTCAAATAGTTTAAAGGAGTTTAAAAACAAAGCCAACAAAAAAATCTTATGACACACATATAAAAACAATTATGGGACTATGTTGCCACCAGGCTGTTTCCTACTGTAAAAGAGACTAATAGGAGAGTTTAAAATATGCAGCATCATCATGTGAAATTGCCAGCCAGTCACTGCCAGTTCATTGTGAAGGTAGATTGTTCAAATCGTGAGTGAGTGAATAACTGTGACAGGCATGATCGGCCGTTTGGCTCGTCAATCAGAAATAAACATCCCTTACACACCCCACATTATATGCAACCAGGCACTGACACAAGGTACAAGGCAGCCTTGAGTGGGCTTGCACGTTTTTTTTGATAACGAGTGTAAACAGCGGTAGTATTCATTAAGTGACTTCGATTATTTGAACATTAATTTCAGTAGTTGGACATTCATTGAAAACAGGGGTCGTCAACACGCAGCTCTTTTACTGCCCTGTTGTGGCTCCACAGCTGAATTAGATTAGTAGGTAAAAATAAAATAATCCTCCTTTACAGTAAAATAAAGCTCTGCTGATCATTCAACACAGTTTAACAGTAAATGGTCTTTTTTTAATTATGGTTTTGTTTAATTATGTCGAATTCTTATTCCAGAACCCACAACAGCTTATTTCTGCCAGAGAATCTGGCTCGGCTCAGCGAGACCTTCAGTCGGGCTTATGATGTGATGGATGTGGAGAAGAATCTTATTTTAGGTAAATGGTAAACGTATCTTTATCCGGTTATGATATCAGTTCTGTGTGAAGGTTGGCAGATGGTAATAAAAAGATATAATCTGCTCCACACAGCAATTTCCCAGCCAACCATGGACGTGTACGACTCCCCCGTGTACAGAAGCGCGCTTGAGCGCATGCAGGGCTTCTTCTGCACGCTCTACGATAACTGGTGAGGCCTGATCTTACAGATACGGAGTTATCACCCGATCAGCCCGAGCCGTTTTCTCAAATTTCTGCTTCCTCACTCTCTTGCAGTTACCACGTCATCGGGTACGCTGGGCCAGCCCTGCAGCAGGACTTCTACACAATAGAAGGACTGGCGGAACAGTTGGTAGGCTCCGCCCTTATCCACCTGGAGCACGTTCCTGACCACAGGCTCCGCCCCTTAATCCATATCCTTTGTAATAGATCATCTCATCATAACCATATTTAAGCTCTTACCATCTAGTCTTTTGGACGCTGCTGTGCTAGATGGCCTCTTCTTGTCGTTGTTTGCCTTAATGTGGTCGTGTTCACGGGTGTTCATGAAACCTCTGGTCATGTCCTGTCCTTCGGAGTACTATGACGGTCTACTCTGCCCCCTGCTGGGCCTTCTGTTCTCCCACCTGCTCCAGGTAAAGCGCACGTTCTCTTCTGTTCTGTTCTGTCCTGTCCGAACCACCACTTTCCCAAAGGAGAGCTGTGAATCCAGCATTTTGTAAACTCATAGGTACACAATTTAAAAAGATGGTTCTTCAAGGGTTCTTGAGTAAAGAAAATGGTTCTATATAGAACCATGACCACCCAAAGAACCCTTTGCACAACTGAAGGATTCTTTGCATTGTGAAAGGGTTCTTTAGACTTGTGGATAATGTGTTGTATATGGGCTTTATGGAGCACCTATTTGAAAAATGGTTCTTCTACACACTTAAAGATGGTTCTTCAAGGGTTCTTGAGTAAAGAAAATGGTTCTATATAGAACCATGAACACTCAAAGAACGCTTTGCACAATTTAAAGGATTCCTTGTATCGTGAAAGGGTCCTTAAGATTGGAGAATGGGTTAAATATGGTTCTATATAGAACCTTTTTAAAAAAAGGTTTCTTCTACACACTTAAAGATGGTTCTTCAAAGTTTTTTTAGTAAAGAAATTGGTTCTTAATAGAACCATGAACACTCAAAGAACCCTTCAGATTGATGGAGAATGTGCTGCAGATGGTTCTATATGGAACCTTTTTTGAAAAGGGTTCTATAGAGCACCAAAAAGCGTTCTTCTGTTGTTGCAGATGTGACATTGTAACACTAGCAGAACCATTTCTGGTGCCACATGGAACCCTTTTCAGAAAGTTTCTATATAGAACCATCTACAGCACTACGAAGTCTGCATTCTGAAGAGCGCTTTCACAATGCAAAGAACCATTTAATCATGCAGATGGTTCTTTGAGTGTTCATGGTTCTAAAATGAGGCGCAGTCTTTACTAAAGAACTCTTGAAGAACCATCTTTTTAAAGAGTGTAGTGTTATGATGTCAAGCTTGTAACAATAGCTGAACCCTGTTTGGTGTTATGTAGAACCCTTTTCAAAAAGGTGCTATATAGAACCATCTACAGCACATTCTCCATCAATCTGAAGAGCGCCTTTACAGTGCAAAGAACCCCTTAAGCATGCAGATGGTTCTTTGAGTGTTTATGGTTCTATATAGAACCATTGTCTTTCATAAAGAACCCTTGAGGAACCATCTTTTTAAAGAGTGTAGTGTCAAGCTTGTAACAATAGCAGAACCCCTTTTCGTAGAACACCATAATAAGATACTGTTATTTTCTGCCCTTTCACAGAGGCTGAACCTCCGGTGGCAGATCATCAACCAAAGAACCAACGTGTGGTGAGTGACCTGCTCTCAGTTTCATGGTTTCATTGTTTTCCACTCTGCTGGATTCTCATACGGTTTCATCTCAATCAGTGGTCCAGATGACGACGAGGGTTCCGAGGAGAACCAGGTGACTCAGGAAATGCTGGAGGATCGGCTGGTGCGACTAGCCACGCGAGAGGTCATGGATCTGCTGTGTGAGTTCTGTATTAGTTTTTTATGAAATGCTCCAGCCTGTTTGACCATTTTTAACGACCGATTTCATGATCCGGCCCTGCAGCGATGTCCTGCATATCGAGAAAGCTGCCAGAACCAGCAGGAAACAAGGAGGATGCAGATGGTGAGTTCATAGAATCATTTACTAACGTAATTGTGAATACGGTGACCAGTCTGTGGAGTTACTCAGGTCTTTTATTCATATAGAGCCATTTTTATTAGGTTGAGGAGTGGATGGGAGGAAAGCAGAGCAGAAATATGTAGTAATGTGGCTAAAAGACACCTTGTCCCTATTAGCACGCGTTTTCTAGACTCATTCAAGGCTGCGTTTTGGCACAGCTGGCGAGATTCTCGCATGTAGAGGCGTCAGCGTTGGTTTTTACTCCAGATACGGTCCAGCTGAGTATCTCACTGCTCTGAATTGCTAGGTAGCTACACACTTAAAAATGAAGATATAGATCCATCAACAATCAAAGAACCTTTTTATGATTAAAGGGTTCTTTGCATCGTGAAAGAGTCCTTCAGATTAATGGAGAATGTGCTACAGATGGTTCCAAAAGGGTTGGCACCAAAAAGGGTTCTGCTATGGATATGGTGTCAAGCTTGTAACAATAGAAGAACCCTTTTTGGTGCTATATAGAACATTTTTTCCTAAAATGTTCTAAATAGAACCATCTACAGCACATTCACAATCCATCTGAAAAACGCTTTCATGATGGAAAGAACCCTTTTAATGATGCAAATGATGTTCGTGGTTCTATATAGAACCGTGAACATTCCAAGAACTCTTTCTGAGGTTAAAGGGTTTTTTGCATCGTGAAAGCGTGCTTCAGATTGATGGAGAATGTGCTGTAGATGGTTCCAAAAGGGTTCTGCTAAAGTGATGTCAAGCTTGTAATAATAGAAGAACCCTTTTTGGTGCTATGTAGAATCTTTTTTTTTTTTCCCCCAAATATGTTCTATACAGAACCATCTACAGCACATTCTCCATCCATCTGAAGCAGCCTATCATGATTCAGAGAACCCTTTAATAATGCAAAGGGTTCTTTGAATGTCCATGGTTCTACATAGAACCATTTTCTTTACTAAAGAACCCTTGATGACCCATCATTAAGTGTGTAGCACGTTCTCAGTTGGGTTTGTTACATAGAACAAATGATAGCAACTCCCTCTCACATACAAACTCTCCAAAACAGTGGTTTTCTTTTTTTTAGACGATGGGTAAAAAGACTGCTGGCAACATTTGGAGGGTTGCCAGATTGGGTGGGATCCCCAGTTTAGCATTTTAATGCAACTTGCTTTGAAATTGATTATTTATTCATTGTCATTAACTCATTAAGTTTAACTAAAAATCTAAATACACAAATAGAATTTATGCGAAACTGAAACAATAATAATATTTATTATAATAACGTGATATGTAATCTTCAAAGGTTGGAGATAATATTCCACAGAATATTAAATGTAAGTATTAGACAGCTGCAGCACTGCTCATGCGTTTGTGGTTTTTCTTTAGGAGATGAGGAGATGATGGCAACAGATTCCTCTCAGCTGAATACGTCACAGACGGCAGATGAGCTCACAGAACTGGGCAAATGTCTTCTCAAAAAAGAGGTAACCTTGATGTTCATGCCAGGTGGTTGCTGTGGTCATTGATTCACACTTCTTCTGATTACAGTATCCGGTTGAACCATGTTTTGACTTGTACTTGTGCTCTGCCTGCCTTTAGGACATCTACATGACTCTCCTGGCTATCTCATTTAACTCCCTGTCCTGGAGAGACACCACTAACTGTCAGCGGGTTGCTACCCAGGTCTGCTGGGCTTTGCTGAGACAGGTACAACAATACTGTCGCAGTCTGTGCTCCCTGTATGCTTTACACCTCAGTGGATTCCGTGATCACCTTCGGGTCCACGCTGTTTAATTGTTTCGCTTATTCCATCACAGGTCGTTGGTGGAAACCTGCTTCCTGAGGCCGTAACGTGGCTGTACGCCAGCGTGCTGAAGGCTCTGCAGATGCACGGTCAACACGATGGCTGCAATGCCGCCCTGACCCAGCTGGCTCTGCTCATCTATGATGCTCTGGTAGGTGTACAGCAGGACTACAACCTGCAGCATTGGTCAGTATTAGTTGCCAATTGGAAGTCTGAGACTTGTTTTAAAGGGGTTTATTTTTTTATTTATTTTTTTTAAATCACTTTAACGAACTCTGTGTGAAAGCTGGTGGTACAAAACCGTTCACTTTTCTTAAGAGAAATTAAATCTCTCTTTTCTCTTTCTGAAATTTCAAAATGATGAAATTTGAGTTTTTCCTCTTAACTTGTCTGTGTTAGATTTGGTGATGATTCATTCCTTTACAGACCTCATTGATGCTTTCATGATAGCCGGTTCAGTTTACCTTAAAATTCCCATGAAACTGTGAAAAACAATAAGCAGGACTTTCCACTCAACGCTTCTGAATATTGTGCTCTCCACAGCGGCCTCGATACGCGGAGCTGCGCGCCATCATGAACCAAATCCCCAACATCCATCCAGAGCAGCTAGAACAGTTTGACCAAAGGACAGTCAACCCTGCGCTGCAGAAGGTCGGGGAGAAGAAGAGGAAAGACCAGTTTAAGAAGCTCATTGCAGGCACTGTGGGGGTAAGACGAGCTCTGTTTCGGGGGAGAAAAAGATGTCCATTTAACATTGAGGGGTCAATTTCTGTTGTTTTAAGTGCTTTATTATTCCTTTGAACCGGCCAATCAAAACGTCTGGAGTTAATTAAATAGAGCAACTGTTGCAAACTGTGATTAGACATTAGAGTCTAAAGGACGATGGATCTGCAGGACTAGGCTTGGTGACCATCACCTTAGGTCGTGTTCAGACTGCAGGCAGATCTGATTTGTTGCTCAAATCAGATCTTTGGAGACGACTGTCCGCCGTGTTATTTAGAAGTATTCAGATCGGATTTGTGTGTTCAGACATCTCCAGCCTGTCTGCATGGGTTGCTATGGTAATGATGTAGGCCTCAGTAACTACACTGGTGATGCAGATTTCAAACGTGGATGCAGGAGAGATGGAGGAGTAAAATCTAGCCCACCAAACTCTTCAGAATTCTCTGGAATAATAATGAATCTTTGGCGCTCTTCGTGAATCCCAGCACCTCCGTCGCTCTGGAGTTGCCGTGTTGCGAGTGATGCAGAGCACACGTTAAAATCAGATTTGAGCATACAGACTGAGACACATCTGTAAAAGTTCGATTGGAATCACATTTCAAAAAACCTCCAAACAAGGTTTGGATCAGATTTGCAATAATTGGATTTTGTGTGGTTTTTAGCTTTCCAGACTACCAAAAATCAATCTGGATATGTCAAAAATCTGATTTTGTGTGGTTTTTAGCTTTCCAGACTACCAAAAATCAATCTGGATATACCAAAAATCAATCTGGATATGCCAAAAATCTGATTTTGTGTGGTTTTTAGCTTTCCAGACTACCAAAATTCAATCTGGATATGCCAAAAATCTGATTTTGTGTGGTTTTTAGCTTTCCAGACTACCAAAAATCAATCTGGATGTGCCAAAAATCTGATTTTGTGTGGTTTTTAGCTTTCCAGACTACCAAAAATCAATCTGGATATGCCAAAAATCTGATTTTGTGTGGTTTTGGCTTTCCAAACTACCTATTTGGGCTTGCAGTCTGAACATAGCCATAAAGTCTCCAAGTCACACAACTACTCAGTTAGTTAATTTTGCCTAGTCATATAATACCCTGGCGCATGTGTGTTGGCTAAATACCCTCAATTATATTTACAGTTAGGAACCACTTTTATTAGTTTCTCATTCAGCAGAACTTGGTTGTGCCGTCCCTTTTGTCTGCATTGCCAGTTGCCTGTCAGTCATGACAATGAGCGCGATCCGATAACTGCAGAAAATCAGATTTTGTCAGTAATCCGATTAACATGTTTACATGCTCTCGAGCAATCAGATCACTGGGAAACTCCAGGTCTGCATGAGTCAGACAGTAATCAGATTTCTGCTTTGTATCCAGCCAATAAACTCACAGAAGAAGACGTGATTTAAACATAATGTTAAAACTCAAAATTCATGCAGTGGCTTTTTATTTATTTATTTTTTTTAAACATTTACCTAAAAATATGAACATGCATCAACCAGAACATGAAGAATATTTAAATCCTTCATTTTGTCAAGCATGTATTTGGTTTCGGCGTCGCTCTAAAAGCGTTTTGCTGCATCTCGCGGCGACGCTGCTCGCTTATTTCCGGTACTGCGGTCTGTTTTCACACATGCTCAGACTGACAGAAACGAAAGAAATCAGAGTAAGAGTTCACATGCACTGAGAAATCTGATTACTGAGCTGAAATCCAGCCTCTTTATCAGATTTCTTAATTGATTCTTAATGGGACTGTTTCTTTGCCTCAACAGAAACCCCTGGGGCAGCAATTTAAGAAAGAGGTCCATATCCGGAACCTTCCATCCCTCTTCAAGAAGGTGAAGCCTTCAAAAGACATTGTGGCCAACAGCGAGAACGCTGGGTTGGTCAGTCTGTTCGCCCCTGATCACGATGACTAATGTGATGACGGCTAACTTTGTGGTACTACCGGTGGCCCTCTCTGTTACAACACAGTGTCTGCTCTCACTAACGGATTTTTATTTTACTACTTTTGGTTTCTTTTTAACAAAAAGATTTGAATTTGAATCCTGCACAAGCTGGGTGTACATGTTTCCTTACGTTTCTATTTTGTGCCATTTTTTGAGCCGCAGAGGAAAAGAAGGGAGAAAAAGAGGAAAAGTATCGAAATGACAAATATAAAGCTAAAAAAATCCTGTCAGAGGAATGTAAAAGCAGATCATTGATGATACCTCCAGTGTGGACGTGGAGACCTCAGAAGACCCAGCACTACATTCCAGCTGTACCATTAACTTAGTGGACTTGATCAATGAATTATTTTTTTTTTTTTTTAAAAACATCAACTTTGGTTTAACACTAATGGCAGTGAATTGTTTGTGTACAGGAGACGGTATGTAAAAAGTGTTGTGGTGTTTATATTTTGCTGTTTTTAATAAATGTAGACTCAGTGGTCATCTGAGGACGCGGTGGCTGTTTTGATTCGAATCTCACTGAATAGCTCAGCGTTTTGTACGCTCACAGTGCACAGTGTTAAATAAAACGTGCAAATCCACAGCCACAGTCAAGTTTGCTCGCCCATTGTTTAGGACAAGGGTACTGGAGATCTAAAACCCTGTAGAGTTTAGCTCCAAACCTAATCTAATGCACCTGATCCGGATAATTAAGGCCTTGAGAAGCCTCTGACAATTAGAGCCAGGTGTGTTGGATCTGAACCCTCCAGGGTGGTAGATCTTCAGGATCAGGATTGAGCACCCCTGGCTTGGGAAATGGGTTTCTAATCTCACTTTTTTTTTGGTGCGTTTCCTCATCTACCGCACCTGGTTCATTAAGGTCTAACTCCAACAGTCATGGTTCTGGATCTAGATAATTAACAGGTGAAATCCTGCAGAAAGGGGTCTACGTCTAAGGTGGCATGGTCTCATGGTGTGTACGTTATAATTGATAGATGTGATGGGTGAATAAGGCCAGGTGCACACATACAAAAATGGTTCTTCAAGGGTTCTTTAGTAAAGAAAAGGTTTCTATATAGAACCATTTTTACCATGGAACCCTTAAAGAACCATCTTTTTCAAGTGTGGAGTGATGCCAAGTCTGTCAGTGATGTCTTCCTGGTTTCTCAACACTAGAGAGCGCTCCTGAGTGTGTCCAAAATGAATGGGTTGATATGGAGCATTTAAGCAAAATCAGTTTATGTGCTTAAACATTTTTAATGTAAAAGAATGCAACCATTTCCTGAACACAGAACAGCATAAAACATTAACACCGCTGTTATATTTTTAAGAGCTTTTAACTCGAGTTATAGGAGTTTAAATCGGCATCTCGTGTACATTCATGACGTCGGTGAGTGCGGACAGCCAATGAGCTGCTCAGCTCGCCAACCAATCAGCACTCAGTAGCAGTAATGTTATCAAAACCAGAGCCGGTTTATGAGGAGTCTGGCCGCTTCCTATTTCCCTTGTTATATCAAAAACAGGACTGCTAAACAGCAGAGGGCGCCCACGAGGGAGTCCTCAATGAACGGGAGTGAACTGAGCTCAACGGCTAAAAACAAAAAGTTAAAATAGTTTCTAATCTCTCACCCAGAACTTTCCTTTAATTGTAGGAAGTAGAAGAATGTATTTCACTAAAAAAACAAAGAAATCTTACCTATATGTTTCCATTTTTCTACAGCAAACGGGTTTTGGGCAGCAGAAGGCGGGCATTACTGCTAGAGAGCGATGATTGATTGGCGAGCAGAGCAGCTCATTGGCTGTTCGCGCTCACAGACGTCATGAACGTACATGAGGCGCCGTTTTAAACTCCTTTAACTCGAGTTTAAAAGCTCCTAAAAATATAACAGCGGTGTTAAAATGTTTTATGCTGTTCTGTGTTCAGGAAATGATTGTATTCTTTTACATTAAAATGTTTAAGTATTTATAAACTATGATTTTGCTCAAATGCGCCATATCAACCCATTCATTTTGGAGTCGCTCGGGAGCGCCCTCTAGTGTTTGAGAAATCCAGAAGACATTGCAGAGTGGCAATTCTCCTCTCTACAAGTTCTCTGGCTTTTGAACTCCAGTTATAGGAGTTTAAAACGGCGCCTCATGTACGTTCCCACGCTTTACTAAGTCGTGGCCACGACTTAATCATCTCATTCCCACGCCTTACTAAGTCGTGGCCACGCATTGTTTTTATTTATATAGGATGTCACCAGTGGGGCTCCGTAGAAATCCTAACGCGTGGCCACGATTTAGTAAAAGCTGTGATCCAGCGGGGCCCCGTACCTTTGCCTGAACCGTTAGCCGCCTCAGCTAACCAGCCAAGCCGCCCCGCCCGCGACTCCGCTGCCGGAGCGAGAGAGAGAGACATAGAGAGAGAGAGAGAGACTTAAGCAACGCTGTGAGTTAACTTAAACAAACTGTTTTGTTTGCTCACAGAAATGAAGAAGCCACTGTTAGTTGATTGTTTATTTATTTATTGATTGCCTAGCGACGACACCGGCCGGCGACGAGCGGCTAAATGCCGGTTTAAGCCCTGATTCGGGCGGGATTAGTTCTCCGGGGGGAGCTGGGTGATCCGGCTTCACCTCAGGTCGCCTGTAACGGTTATGAGCGATTCGCACGGGATAGGAAATCTCAGTACCAATGACAGAAATGGGAAACATTTAATTTAGCCATCGTTTTATTTACTCTAACCGTTTAAGTTAGCCGGTTAGCTGCCTCGCTGTCTTAAGTGGATGCAGCGCATCATTAGCGTTAGCATCCCCATTCGCCTGAATTCACAGCCAACAGTCGACGTCACCACATAAAATCATTTAAAATAAAAAAAAATAAACTTCATTTATTTACAAGACTGGACAGTAACGTTCACGGTTTTAGTTACAGAGGACTACGCGGCTGAAGTTGGCTTCGTATTCGCCAGGTTCTCGTCTTATTTCTCGGTCCACCTTAAATGGGCAGCAGTTACATCGTGGCGCCTCAGGCGTTATAATAAGACCTGCCGTATATTTAAGGTGGAACGGAAAATTCGAACAAGAAGCTGAATTCAGCTTCGTCAGTGGACACAAGTAAGTGCTTCTTCGAGTGTCTCCATACTTAAGACACGCAGTTTTTTTACAGAATTTAACAGCGATTGGCACGGGATTAATATAATCTGGGGTTACGTTTATGGCTCGTTTAACGGAAGTTAAACGGCGCCGGAATCTCCTGACGCGGGAGCGCGCAGTCGGTAAAAATGACTGACGTTGTAGCGGTCCTACTGAGCATGCGCATTTCATCACTATAGTGTAGTGTCATGTTTCAAACGTTTAACTGCGTTTTAAACGTTAATTCAGTACAGACTCGGTCTAATATTATTACTTACTCCCTGATGAGGTGATTTAGGCGATCAGAATATCCTAATCATTCTTTTTATGCTGGTAACGTTTTCTGATTAGGAGATTTAAGCTATAAAATCATACTTTCTTTAAATTTTACTGGTAGCTAAAGGGGAATTTAGGCCATATAAATATCCTACCTACAGTTTTATGTAGAGCTCTACCTAAAAAATGCTCTATGGTAGGATATTTCGACACAGTTCGCCAGAACACCAGTAATAATTACATTACCTACCTCTTTATGTAAATCTAATCCCATCCGGATGAGAGCATCTGTGAGCCTGCTGCACAGTTTGGGTGTAATAGAGTTTGAGTTCAGTAGATACAGTTTGAGGATTGTCCATTTCCAACATTTGAAAAGTTTAGCTCTGTGTAAGAATTGCCTCACTTCCAAAAGTACACATTGAAGTTCAGATCTTTCAGTGAGGGGTCGTGAACCAATTAGATTTCGCTCAAATACACAAATTCTGTCAAATTCACCTCTTCGTTTTCTCACCATCAAGTCTCTATAACCCTAAATTTGGGATGTATTAAATCTAATACATACACACTCTTTGTTTGTGTTTTAAGTTATTTGTATTTCAGCAGAAGTGGGAACAAGCATAGGTACCGTACTCTTATTTTGGTTAGAGGCACTGCCAGTGCATATTTTGCGAGCATTATGTTAAAATTACTCAAAACATAAGCAGTACAATTATTCCGAGCTACTAAGACAAATCTCCAGAGCCCAGGGCGCCCTAACGGGACACTTCACAGGACTCGTACGTGTATCATAACCTGGTGTGGGGGCGCTATATATGCGTTTATAAAGGTGCCCAACACCGCGATTAGTTTACCGCAGTTGTTATATGATAAAAATATTCCCTGACCACCTAAAAAGGAAGCCGTTTCTGCCCTGGGGCCTCTATTTTGATGATCCAGGCCTGTTTCTGGTACATAATGAGTAATTCTTCCATTCCTGTTACTTAAGTTCTTAGACTGATCTGCATGGATAAGAAATACTGCATTCTGTATATAAGACATTTGTTCAAATATATACATTACTCTTAAACCCTGTGTTGCTCAGAACTTCAGTGTTAACCTACATGCTCAGTATTTAATTTTCTTAATAATTCGGAGCTCTGCACATTGTTATTCTGTTGTCAAGTAAAAGCTGACTTACTCACATAAACATACATCCTGTGCATAAAATATAAACTCACTTATGACAACTTGACACTGAAGCTGATGGAAGCAGCCTTATTGGAAAGGCTTCTGTAATTGCCGTGTAGCCATATGAACTTGACCTACAGTAAAGTGTTACCACTTACCTATAATTGTTAACACTTACATATAATTGCATTAATATAAGACACGAAGAGAGGGAGAAGGCACTTCATGTGTTTTACAGACTGCTGAGGAAATGCACGACCACACTGAGCTTACTGATAACAGCGCACCTCACGGAGGATAGCAGAGGGTTTCAGCTTTTAACCCGTGATCTAATGATGTATCTTAGATAAGATATGAGAGTGAGAGTTGTGAACACAAGATGAACAACATCTCACCATCAGTTCTGACACTGATCTCCTAAACAGTTCAAACTGTGTAAGAATATGCAAATATTTCAAAATCAAATATGCAGTTAGGAACATTTCGCTGTTGTCGGAAGAAAACCTCATGCCTCCAAAATGGTCACTTCACAGGAGAAGGAAAAAACATACTTTACTTTTAATGTAAGCCAATGGAACCAGACATCTGTACATACGTCTGAATGTACACCGATCAGGCATAACATTATGACCACCTCCTTGTTTCTATGCTCATTGTCCATTTTATCAGCTCCACTTACTATATAGGTGCAGTAACACTGACGTGGTGGTGGTGTGTTAGTGTGTGTTGTGCTGCTCTGAGTGGATCAGACACATCAGTGCTGCTGGAGTTTTTAAACACTGTGTCCACTCACTGTCCACTTTATTAGACACTCCTACCTTGTCAGTCCACCTTGTAGATGTAAAGTCAGAGACGATAGCTCATCTGCTGCTGCACAGTTTGTGTCGGTCATCCTCTTCATCAGTGGTCACAGGACGCTGTTGGCTGGATGTTTTTGGTTGATGGACTATTCTCAGTCCAGCAGTGACACTGAGGTGTTTAAAAACTCCAGCAGCACTGCTGTGTCTGATCCACTCAGACCAGCACAACACACACTAACACACCACCACCACGTCAGTGTTACTGCAGTGCTGAGAATGATCCACCACCCAAATAGTACCTGCTCTGTGAGGGTCCATGGGGGTCCTGACCACTGAAGAACAGGGTAAAAGGGGGCTAACAAAGTATCAGAGAAACAGATGGACTACAGTCTGTAACTGTAGAACTACAAAGTGCACCTATATAGTAAGTGGAGCTGATAAAATGGACAATGAGTGTAGAAACAAGGAGGAGGTCATAATGCCTGATTGGAGTATATATATATGTGCATTTTATTCATCTATTCCACATGAAATTTTCACATTTTCATAGAAAAAAGGTTTGAAAGACAATAATTTTCTTAAGTACAGTCAAAGTCAAACATGCCATGGAACTGAGGGATAGTGAAAGAGAAAAGGTACAGAAAATCTAAGTGTACGTAATTAACTAAGTTAATTAACACACCTCAGACTTTTTAACTTTTTATATTCAGTATCCAAAAAGAAGAGAGACGAATCTTGTGAATTGACCTCGTGACCAGAAGGTCGTGGGTTTGATCCCCTGAGCCGACAGTACGTGACTGAAGTACCCTTGAGCACCTAACCCCCAGAAAAGTGATTCAAACGTGTTTCAGTCCTGTTTTGTTCAGAAGGGTTTCTAGGGGTGCCAATAACTGAACTGTCTTTAGACCAAATTGACTTCAATTAAAGATTTTTCCTCATATTTTCATTGTGAGATTGAGCTAATTACCCTCAAACACATTTGTCCTGGCCCATCTTTACTATATGGGTCCCAATAATTATTACATTGTCTGCTGGAGATTTACAGTGACTCCTGTATTTAAACTCCTCGTTATTAATATCGTCGGACTGTTGGCTGTCACTGTTAGCAGGTCATGTTTAGCTGATGGGTATTTCTGGTAGCTAGACACACAAAATCCCCCCACTCCCCTGTCAATCATGATTTGAACCAGTTTATATGGTGATACATTTGTAAGATTTAATTTCTTCAGCTATTTTGCTGCACAGAGTCATTTATTGAACAGAAATTGACTTAAGTTGTCTGAATTTTGATAGACTTAGTTTTAGGCCGCCTGCTTACTAACGTTTTTGAGTTAAAACAGTAAGCATGGTAAGTAGGACACTTTCAGCTTTCATCTTCAACAGTGGTTTGGTCAGTACTGAGGTGTTTCTCTCTGCTGACCAGCACACACAGCAGTGGGTCTATGGTCACTCTCAAACTCAGCAGACAGGTGCTTATCGTTTCCAGGCTCCAGATATATACAAAAACATACAGAGTGATAAAAGTCAAATATATGATCATGCTGATCGTGGCAAAAGCTAACACTGTGCGGTCTTGCTTCTTGGTTCTGTCGGAGCTGTGGGTTTTAATGGGTGGTCTTCTACAGGTGATTATCCACGAGGTGACCGTCACGGCTAACAGCGGCAGCAGACTCAAAAGTAGAAACTCTCGTGCTGTGAAAAACTGACACAGGAAAAAACAAACGAACATTAGGAGAGAGATTATGATGGAGCAGTGGGGAAAGAAAACATGAGCGGAGCAGGATGGATGTCTCAGAGCAAGAACGCTCTCAAACACCATCATCTGCTGGAGGTAGACACCACAGAGTCTTGATCCTGACGATAAAGATGACAGTGTTCGGCATGTGATGTCTGTGTTCCTGTCGCAGCCTCCTTGGATCAGTGTCGTCGCTATGTATGGATTCAGAAGCAGCTCCAGCACATCATTGAGGAGGACGAGAATGATGAAGACTGAGATTCTGCCCTTGCGTTTATGATGACGGCGTAGAACAATAAGAGCCCAAACCAGAGCTGGAACACCAGAGATCACGGTGAAGATGAGGAAGATGGACAGTCTGATCCTGTACTCTGACCAGCCTGTCTCGCTAAGAAGACTGTAATAGGGAAGCTGAAGAAATAGTCCCATTGTGTGACCACTCCTTGGTGATTTGTGTGAGAGATCCTAGGGTGAAAACGGTAAGTCAGCTCCCGTTTCTTTTGTAGTTAGAGACTCCAGTACAAAATGTTTACTGAATTACTTACCAAAGCTTCACACCAGCTGCAGAGATGCAAACTGCAACCACACTGAGTACAAAGCACCAGCAGAATGCACTGAAAATGGATTGAACAGAATCACAAAAAGATGATACTGGCCTAAACAGAGGCAGTCATATTCTACACTTGACAGAATAGGAAGAGAAGGGCAATTCCTTCAATTTTTCAGAATTTCTGAATAATTAAGTGGTAAACAGAGTCATTCAGAGTGGTTTGGTGTGAAACGCTCCATTCTAGAGAAACTTACCAAGACAGAAATGTTCACAGTGGTGGTGATAGGAACCAGACGTCCACCTCTAAAAGCTGCCTCACAGGAAATGGTTATGAATACACTGCTTGATGTCTGAGATGCTGTTTTAACACTGTTTAGAGAAGATTTTGGTCTAAAATCCTTTATGCAGGTGAAATAGTCCCCAAAGAAAACCTAACATTTTCAGATTTCCCACTATTTTATCATCATTAACATTACATATAAACGCTGAGAAGACTCGTGTAGGTTCACTGGTGGTTCTGGATAGTAAATAAAATGGCTATATTTGTGTTGTAGTCATGGCGACACCTGGTTCCTATCACCACCACTGTAAAGAAATCTGAACCATTTCACACTCTGAATCACTCTGTCTACATCTCAATAACTAAATCATACAGGAATTTTGAAAAGTTAGAGGAGTTCCTGTTTAAATGCTGCTTCAATTTTGTCAACCTTGTGTAGTCAGTAAATGAGTCTAAAGTCTGTCCTAGTAATAGTAAACATTTATAATACGTTCAGTGTGTGATTCTGTGCTCTTACCTGAGACTCGGCCGTCAGCGCTGCTATTCTGAAAGAGCTAAAATGCTGTTCTGACAGAAAATAGAAGACCGCCTCCACATTTCTCTTCTGGTTTCAAAAAAACAATTACAAAGCTCGAGTAAAGTTTACTAAAGTCCATTACAGATGAGTGGTTGAACTGAAGAGAGTAAGGAGAGCTAAATTTCACTAGGGAGAAATAAATGTCCAGATTTTTTGATGACCCTTTGACTCTGTTTTATTAGTAGGTTAGTCATTGTACTGGGTATTTTCAGGAGTTTTTATGGCAGATCTGGCCAGCTATACATATGTATTTCCTTTCCTGCTGAATCTCAACATGCATTACGATGTTATGTGATGAAATATATAGAGTAATTCTTGATAAAGATCACAGGAGGTAGTAATAGATTTATGATGTTTATTGCAAATTGTCAAAGAAAATTGTATTTGTACTTAATGCTCTGTATTTTTCCCCAAGCACAGAAAATGTATTACACTCAGGAATTGTCATCAGCTGACAATTCTTAATGTTAATAAGAATAATAACAATAACAGCAATAATAATAATAATAATAATAATAATAATAGTAAGCATGCAGTCCTTTCAGTACCAATTAAGAATGCTGATGTTAATCTAGTTAATGGAATGTTTTATCACCTGATTTGTCAGTGGTTGTTTGCAGTTTTATTTTGAGCGCACAAAACACTGTTCTAACTCAAGACTTGCAAGTTCAGTACATTAAGAATATGCTAATAATATAATATACTATAATATATAATATACTGATATATTAACATATACAATCAGCACTATTATAAGGTGAATTTCGGAGGCATAATCAGCACTGGTGCATTTTAATGAAATCATACAAAGAAGTGCACAGAGAGAGCGAATGCATGAGAGAGTGGCATGTCTTCGTTTTTATAGACCACTGAGAGGAAATATCTGCCACCCTGAGCTCACTGATAACAGCAGACCACACGGAGGACAGCAGGCTGTTTACAGCCTGTTCATCCCCCAAGAAGCTCAACCTGAGTAAAATGTACAAACAGTTCACTGAAGAGCAAAAGACGTAGTTTCAACCAGATCGTTTATAAAATACTGAAAAGCAAAATTCGAATGCACATTAAAACGAGTAGCTATAGTTTTGATTATAATTTCATTGACGTCTCAAAGTTATCAGACAGAAGTGCGGAATTAAGACTGTATTAAAATGAAAACATTTAGGCCAAAAAGAAAAGATGATCATGTACAAAAATATATCTAATTTAACTAAATGAAACACACAAAGTTAAACAAAGCTACCCCAGATGTTTGAACTGTATTTTAGACCGAAAGAATCACAGAAAGAGAAGAATAGAGCCCAAGTTACTCAGTACTTCAGAGTTTTTAGACCTAGACCAGGCTGCGCCAGGTTTGTACTTTTGCTTGTGTGTCTTTACTAAGTTAACGCTGGTTAGTTTAAGTCTGTCCTTTTACTAATTTTAAACCATCACATTAACATGCTAACTTTAGATCCAACAGATAAACACACTGCCAATAAAACAAAGATGCTACCTTGCAATTATGTGAGCTTTATTTATATATTTATTTTTTAAATGGAAATTCATGAAGTGAGCAGAATGGCTCTGACTGATTTGGTATGAAAAAAAAAAAACAGTAAGCTTGCTGAAACATGCCTAAATTTTACTCTTCAGCATTTTCAGTAATAATACCACTCCATTTCCAAAAAGTTGGGATTCTGTGCAAATTGTTATTAAAAACAAAATGCAATGATGTGCAAATCATTTAAACCCTATATTTAAATGTAAGTATTAGAAAGACAACATATCAATGTTGAAACTGAGAAATGCATTGTTTTTTGAAAAATATATGCCCATTTTGAATTTGATGCCAGCAACACGTTCCAAAAAAGTTGGACGGGGGCAACAAAAGGCTGGTAAAGTTGTGTAATGCTAAAAAAAACACCTGGTGGTTGATTAGCAACAGGTCAGTAACATGATTGGGTATAAAAGAGCATCTCAGAGAGGCTGAGTTTTTCAGAAGTAAAGATGAGGAGGGGTTCACTACTCTGTGAAAGACTGCACAATCAAATAGTGCAAAAATTCAAAGAACTTTTGCTTTTCATCATCTACAGTGCAAAATATCATTAAAAGATTCAGAATATCTGGAGAAATCTCTGTATGTAAGGGACAAGGCCAAAAACCAGTATTTGCTGGCCGTGATCTTTGGGCCCTCAGACGGCACTGCATTAAAAACAGACATGATTCTGTAGTGGAAATCACTGAATGAGTACAGAAACACTTCTGAAAACCACTGTCTATGAAAACAGTTCCACAATCCACAAATGCAAGTTAAAACTCTTAAAAAGAAGAAACTGTACATAAATGAGACCCAGAAATGCTGCCACCTTCTCTGGGCCTGAGCTCATTTAAAATGGACTGAGGGGAAGTGGAAAAGTGTCCTGTGGTCCGACGAATCAACATTTTAAATTTTTTTGGGAATTCATGGACGCTGTGTCCTCTGGGCTAAAGACCACTCAGCTTGTTATCAGTGCACAGTTCAGAAGCCAGTATTCATGATGGTATATGGGTGCATTAGTGCACATGGCATGGGTGACGCGCACATCTGTGAAGGCACCAGTAATGCCGAATGATATGAACATGTTTTGGCAACATATGCTGCCATCCAGACGACGTCTTTTTCAGGGAAGGCCTTGATTATTTCAGCAAGACAATGTAAAACCACTTTCTGCATGCATTACAACAGCATTGCTCCATATTAAGAATCTGGGTACTAAACTGACCGGCCTGCAGTCCAGATCTGCCACCATTGAAAACATTTGACGCATTATGTAATAAAAAATACGATAAAGGAGACCCTGAACTGTTGAGCAGCTGAAATCTTATATCAAACAAGAAAGGAAAATATTTCACTTTCAAAACTACAGCAGTGTCTCCTCAGTTCCCAAACGCTTACAGAGTGTTGTTAAAGAAGAGGTGATGAAACACAGTGGTAAACACGCCCCCGTCACAACTTCTTTTGGAAAAGGGGTTGTAAAATATATACACATATAGTAATATACACATATAGTAATACCGCCGCACAGTGTTTGTACATTATGTGGAGAATGTACACCTATTATTTTACAGCTGTGTTTATCTTTTGTATGACAGGGGGTCATCAAACATCTGGCCATTTATTTTGTTTCTCTCAATAGAAATTCAGCTCCAATTACACTTGTTATTTTAACCACTGATCTATGATGTATTTTAGTAATATGCATTTTTGGCAAAAAAAAAAAATATATATATAACTTGGGCGAAGGCTTTTTGTCACTGCAGAAAGGGGCGGGAAGTGGTCTTCCCCTGTGATCTGTCAGTAAACCACCCTGCTCTGTCAGAACAGCAGTGCCGACGGCTTCTCAGGTAAGAGTAAATAGTACATTGAGCACAATATAAATGTTTATTATTAGTAGGATGCAGTTAGTACGCCAAATAACAAGTACATTTTGACAGAGAAGTTATTTTGTCTTGTTGACCAAAAAAGCTGCCTGTGAATAGAAATATGTTGCAAGCTATCAGTTAGTCTGCTGTTATCTCTGTTTCTGAATGAGATTAGTTGAATGTTACTACATTTACAGCATTTGGCAGACGCTCTTATCCAGAGAGAAAGCCAGTCCTGAGCTCAGATACTGCTAGAAACAAGTCCATGTTGATACCTAGAGAAAAAGGAACAGAGTTAAACACAGCGCAGTGCAGTACATTTCAATAAATACTTAACTCAGTGCTCACTTAAGTGCTATAAAAAGAGTGTCTTCAGTCTGCGTTTGAAGACCACGAGAGACTCTGCTGTTCAGACAGCCAGTGGGAGTTCATTCCACCACTTGGGTGCCAGGACAGAGAAAAGTCTTGATGCTTGTCTTCCACGCTTCTTGAAAGATGGCGGGTCAAGCCGAGCTGTATTTGAAGCTGGAAGGGCTCGAGGTACAGTTTGAGTTTTGTGGTTGGTACAGTGTAGTGGGTAACTCTTCTGCCTTCTATGCTGTAGACTGGGCTTTAATCCCTGACTGGTAAGCACCCTACACTATACCAGTAAGAGTCCATGGGCAAGACTCCTAACACTACCTTTGCCTACCTGTGTAAAATGGTCACATTGTAAGTCGCTCCGGATAAGAGCGTCTGCCAAATGCCGTAAATGTAAATGACCATTGCCATTAGTTGGGAAGGGGCTGGTCCGTTTTTGGCTTTGTTGGCGAGCATCGGGTTTTAAATCTGATGTGTGCAGCTACAGGAAGCCAGTGAAAGGAGCGCAGCAGTGGAGTGACATCAACTGCATCAACAACTACTAGTTCACTTTAGTTCTACACTCTTAAAAAAAGATGGTTCTTCAGGGGTTCTTTTTGGTAAAGAAAATGGTTCTATATAGAACCATGAACATGCAGAGACATCTAGTGGCAGTTGTGTGGTTTTTAAATGACACAGCAGTTAGTTTTAGTTTAAACCACAGGTCTGCTTTAACCTGCAGCTTCCAAGTGCACAGCAGTGAAGTTTAAGAACCCATGTGACTCATTCAGGGTTAAGCCTGGGTTAAACTCTAGACCACAGCTAAACTAAGCACTGTGCACTTGCCCCATTCTGACTTTGCAAAACTGACAAAATAGAGCATTAAGCCTAATGTTCCTGCTCTAAACAGTTGTTTTAGAGCTTTTGATGTGAAAAATAGGTCAAAAAACGTATATTTTTGTGATTTTTTTTTTGTTGTCATTGCTTTTGTTGTCTTTTCAGTGCTTTCGGCTGGTGTTATGTAGTCATTTGTGGAGTTCACATCTCTAATGCTGGTGTGAAGCCTCTGTAAGTAATTAAATCCTGACACATGTTGCTCTGGAAAGTCAATATTCACAAAAAAAGAAACTAAGCCTGACTTATCGTTTCCACCCTAGGGCATTTCAAACGAAGTCCGAGAGACTGACCGTACCATGCTAACTGTCCCATCCTCACATCTGCTCCTTTCTTGCCTTCGTCCTGGGCCTGATGAGTTGTTCAGAC